CAATCTCTTGGACTGCGAGTAAATAATAGTTCCGTCTTTTTCCGAGACAGTCTCAATAATAGCCAGATATTTAATACCCGTTTCGTTGATAAGTCTGAGCAGTTGTCTTTTGTTACTTATCATCGCTGACTCTTCTACCGCTTTTGCTTTTGCTACCCACCAGTGAGTTTCTGAGCATTTATCAGTTCTGTAGACCCTGTTGAAATCTACTGATTTTTCCGAGGTTTTTGGTTCAGGTTGATGGTACATATCATTACTGTTTTCACAGGTTTTCGGATATCATGCTGATCTACTCCTGGGTGAATATCAATTTCATGGTTGACCAACTCCTTCTCTAATTGTTCCTGAAATATATTCCCAGCCTTTACATTAATGATTTGAATTCTAAGGGACTTTCTTGTTGTGGCTTTTTTACGTCAAGTAAGACTCAGGTAAAAACGTGCTCGACCTGGAGATGATCCTAGCCTAAACATATGCTCCAAAATAAGCGACCGTCTTCTACCGAGTTTCTCTAACAATAGATGATGGCGATGTAGTTTATTTCTGTCTATCGTGAAGTCGATTGTGGGTGTCGCCACGTCAAACGATGTTTTTCCTTATGTTGGTCCTTGCTAGAAATAGACAATCATCTGAGCATAGCCGCAGCAGACGGTCATCATATTTTTTGCGGAGCTGCGGCACAGTAAGTTTCACCTAATTGCCTTTTGATCTGGCTCAGTCTATGTCATTTGGCATTAAAATTACACACCCAATATTACTACATCAGAGAGTTTGTCTTTTCGAAGGAGATTAGATAGCATCTCATAAAGTTCATCTTTTTTTCATCCGAGTTGCAATCAGTGGTAGTGTAGTTAGAGGCGACTGCATATGTCTCTATTTCACCGATTTCTTACCAACGCACAGGCGACTGCCTATTGGAACCCAATGTAACAGATCCTGCTGTGTTATAGAACATAAATCTCTACCTACGCCAGCAAGGCCGTGGGAAGTAACAATGGGATCTCTAGATACACGAAAGATAAGTCGCGCCGGTTCTTCATATTGACAGTGTGAGGTCTAATGAATGACTGTGCCCGGATATTATATATGCGTTTCGGATACGCACTACACATTGATGGCGCAATATTGCAGAGTCTTAGCTAAGGAAGTTTGTCACCCTGTTTGCCAAAAGGTTAGAACATTAAAAGATCCAGCATGTAGTTTAGAGCGTAAATTCAGGAGACCGGAAATAAAATTTCGTGAACACAAATTATCCTTAGCACTGGTGGTGCGTGGTGATAAAGATATGGGAGAAAATTTACTTGTGGGAATAGAATAATTACCAAAGAGTAAGGGAGGGATTTGATCGTGAGCAAGACGATCTCGGGTGCTGTTAGGAGTGTGAGGGAGGTTTTCACTTCCCGGTTGCCCATAGTATGGAATGTTATCTCTTTTTGAGGGACTTGGATAGGAAGCGGGCTTACTAGTAGTCCACGGGGTAATATGATTCATGAAATTTGTAGGGTTTATTTTTTTCAACTTCTCCCTTCCGTTGTGAGAATCTGGCATCGATACAGATGGTGGTTTTCGGAGGAAAACACCTTACTACTTTGTCACCTCTCTACGGTCAACAATACGAATTCGCCCTTATACCTTAAGTTTTTGCGTTTGGCTTAACCGTATTCCAATCGTTATATCTGGACCTGGAAGAACAGATGTTTTAGCTAAGATAGTTCGGGTGAGCTATCCTCATAGACAGGTCTGATCACTAAGCCAAAGTAGAAGCTCCGATCGGACACTAGCATTTAAATCTCGCAAGGTTTGTGAAAAGCTTTCTCCGTTATGAAGAGACTATAACTGGGGTAAGTTTAAATTTGTTTCATTAATTAACTGAATATTCTGCCAACAATTATCAATCAACTATCATTTTATAATAATCCCATCAAATGTAACGAAGATTATATTTCACTACTAATTGAGCAGCAAGCTCGGCGAGCTACATAAATTGGCATAACATTCGAATGAATTATGCCAGTTCTAGTTGTGTATATATTTTGTTGAGATGAGAGTTTATTCTTTAGTGGTTTATAACTTATATGAATGAGTTTCAACCTTTGTTCAGAACATAGAAAACTGATCGCTTTATAGTTTCCGATTTATTACTGATTTTAAAAAAAACACTATGGATAACCATAGGAGACGAAATAGGATGCTTAGTAAAACCGTTCAATCTGTAATGATACAAAGTAACAACATTTCTGTGATTATGATATGTTAATTGGACAAATAAAGATTTTATACTAATTTAAATTTTTGTAATTAGAAAACTTCTCATTGTATGTTTTACTAAGGTTGTTTCTAAGCACAAAGTTTTCAACTTATAGTAGTTTATAACTTTTAAGATATCTGGACTTTATTTCATTAAGTGTTATTGAAAAAGCATAGAAATAGTGTTATATTATCAGTTAAATTGAAACGAATAAATAAATACAATCCATTAAAATTTTTCATGATGTGAATTCATTTAATTTGTATCTTTCTCTGCTTACAATAAACAATAGTCTCAGAAAATATGAACAAAAAAAAAGGATGAACTTCCAAATTTAAGAATATTTCTCACAGATTTCATTGTCTTTGGTAAATCTACGTTTACATTACAGTTTTACTGCTTTATTAGATAGTTTTCTTTAAACATGGTCAGAATATATAATTCTTTATTGTCCAACTATTAATTACAATCATTTGAAGCCATGAGAAACTGAAGAAAGTTTGATTACTTTTATTTTTGATAAGGTTTGAACTTATTACTTTAAGGTGTGGGTTTCTTAGTTGCTTTTCTAAGTAACCAACTTAGTTGACTGCTATGAATTCGATTATTAAGTGGTGTTTTCAGCATAATATAAGTTAACTATTTTCTCTCTCCTTCCCTCCAGCTACCCTGAAGTGCAATAAGTTAGATTTTCAGAACGATTTTATGATTAACATGGGTTGAATTTTGAATGTCTGTCACAATGTACTTCTGTTAAGTTAATTATCATTAACAGTATTTTGAAGTATTTCTGTGTGACCTTTGACATTTTCCAAACTGAAAACTAATAGTAAACAAACATTATTTTTTGATTAACTAGCAGATACCCTTAAATACATCTATACAATAGCTAAAAACAGATAGATGAAAGTGATGAACTTCATACAAATAGATTAGTGTGTAGAGCCGCCGGCTTGACTAATGTTATGAGCATTATTTATATTACGTAGTTTAGTGACACCTAAACATTAGATTACTTCGTGAAAAATGACATTTTAATTGAGGCAGTTACCCACCGAAGATAATGGGATAATGGATTGGTTGAAGTTAGACATTAAAACTGCTGGATACCGACTAAGTGGTCTAGAGGATAAGCTTTCGCGTGAGAGATCGAAGATTCTGGGTTCTAGTCCGACGTGAGGGATCATGGGTGCACACTGCTGAGTCGTTCCGTAATACTTTGAAGCAGACATCCAGTGCTTCTATGTTTTTAGTAGCGATCTAACATTGATCGGATCATGGTCTCAATTAAAACTCAACAATTCATATAACTCTTTACTGAACATTCAATAATCACCGGTCGCTTACGCAATAAGTAATCTGTTTCTTGCTAAAATAAACTCTGCCTTTGATTAATCTCCCAATGCAGGTTTACTTAATATTTAACTGTAACTCATGGGTAATCTTTAAAAAGATACCAGCATACAGTCAGTAAAAGGTTAGGGCCTATATATTGCCGGCATAAACACCAACAATTTCAGTCATATAGGGGAGCAGTCCATCAAGTCTTAATATCTAGCAAAAACAAGAATAAAAATCAATTGCAGTAGTTCCTACTGTAACACAACATTAAAAGATCCCTTAGCCAATAAATTTAGACACTTAACTTGGATATGAAAACTCGATAATCGGAAGATACTAGTTAGTATACACACAATTTAGAGTCGGTTATTATTACAAGTTTAATTGGTCTAATAAGAAGTTACCCCGAAAATTTTGAAAACGTAAACAGTCACAAACAATCTGAAGATATTTACCGTTAAATGTTCAGCAAAAAATCTTCAGTTTCTAATATTTTAGCTATGATTTACTACTTTTATCCACCCTATCAGTTAATTATTCTTGGAAGTACAATGGAGAAAACACCTGAATGGGAATAGGTTTCATACACTTTGACACTCATTAATAATATGTACTTATGCTATTGACGGAATAGATGTTGCCTAAGAGATTCTCAGTCACATTCGGTTGGGCTATTTATGAGATGTGGCTGATAATATTTATACGAACTGATTAATAGGTGATAATTAGTATTATGATGTTTAGGCTTTAATGGTGATAGAATTTAATCGATCAAGTTGAGTATAATCACTAGTTTAGGTGACTCAATATCGTGATTTACTATGTTTCGATGTTAGATTGTTGGAGGACATAATAATGAAGCTTTAAACATAGGTTACCTACTGGTATGTACTCATCAGGAGAATCGATAACTCTCCATGAATTAAAACTCACCTTATCTAATGCCAAAATCGTACCTCTTGCTATTGAAGTAAACAGCTTTATTTATTTGTACAGCGTTAGCTCTAGTTGAAAGAACGTGGCATCATCAATAATATTTGATACAAAACCTTCGGATAACTCATAATAACTTCAGTGTAACTGAGCTTTCGGGGTTCGAATAATAATCATTAAGCTTTTTTATGCAATATTGATCGATTATGAAGTATTATATTTTATTTATTGGTTATCTATTTTAAATGAACCTAGAGATTTGATTAGTATCAAATATCGGTGAATTATTATGTTCGAGTTATTAACATGGTTTCCATTGTAAACATTAAAATAATGTAATCCAAGTTTGTAAATTATACAAACAATTAGAATTGAGCTACTATTTTTTTGTTAGTAAAACCTACTATATGATAACCATTAGATAAATGAAGTTACCGTCGAAAAATAAAAAAAAATGAAGTAAATGAACAGAACTTACACTTTTCTGACATTTTTTCATATGAACCTTGATAGTTTGTTAATAAACCTGAAAAATGATGTTCGTAGTTCCCACCATATGAGTTATCTGGAGTGAAATACAAATTATACAATTTTATTTGGCGATTATGATAATCTGATGTTTATTACTACTATTTACATAAACAGTTAAAAAAAACACAGTAAGTGTTAGTAATATTTTATTGATATTCCTTGATTATTGACTGAAATAGCGATTGATTGACGAAATTTTAATACAAGTTCGTAATAACTGGAGTTAAATAGTACTGGGAGTCGAGTAGGTATTACTGATCGAACTGAGTTTTAGTCTTGCGTTGTCACAAACTCGCAGAAGTTAAAAGTGTGAACCATTGTATTCAGACATAGTGATTTGAAAGTCTCCAGCTTGCAACACTACTATAAAGTTCTGCAACCGGTCTTTTGTTGATCCCTTAATTAATATCAATTGTTTCATAATTAAAGGAAAAAATCTATACAATTTGTGGAGTAGTAGCTATGTGGAGGCTATCCTCATGAGATATGCTATACTGACGAAGACTGATCAATATTTAGTCAGGAATATGAGCAACGGGAAAGCTGAAACACTTAACGGTAATGATATTAACGTCATACCCCTTTGTGTAGATTAGTGAGTAACTGGACTCAGCAACTTAGTGGACAATGCGTTGAGAGTTAGAGGCTAGAATTCGGGATTTAAATCCCGGTGTGGACATCAATCCTGTGATGTAAATAAATTCAGCCAACTAGTTACGAAAAAGACTAACCACGACTCCTGGATTTCATTACTAGCTATACCAATCAATTTTAAATCCAGCTTACAAATGCTTTTTTGGACAATTGAGTCCAATATTGCTCAGTTAGTTTTAATCATAATTCAAATGTATAAAATGAAATCACATTGCGTAGTCAAAAACTGCCGTTAAAAAAACTAGGCAAAATAACTCAGGGGTATTAGGAATGTAGCATTGAAAACAGCAAAACACAGTGAAACAACATACACTATAGCAGTAGTGAACGTACTATTAGAATACATTTTAATATTTGAAGTCATAAAATACTCGACTAGTGACGGGATGGCTTGATACCTTCCATGAAATATGAGGTTTCAGAATGTGATCTTAAATGGATAATTCTTATGAGTTTTGAATTTGAATAGACCAGTTTATGTGAGCCTCTTAATTTAATGGTAGCGAAGCTCAAACCTCTTTATTACATCAACTGTTTAATTTCGAAATTTTTAATCCTGATAACCTTATTGAATATTAATGGTCCAGTCTAAAGTCAAAGACATTCTTATTATTTTTATTCATTTAATATGCGAATATTTCTAACATCAGTTAAACAACAAATATTTAAGTAGCATAGACTGTATCAGAAGGGGTTTTGTGGAGATTTTAGAAATTTCAATAGTTGAAATCATAAGTCAATTGAAGCTTCTTAATAAAATGTTTTGATGAAGGCTTAATTCAATCTAAAGATGATTCACATTATGAACTAACTGGAACTACTAAACAATTGAAAAGTGGAAAATCGTTGATGATATATATATATCATAGCTATCCACATACATGAATATTAAACTTGTTTCTACACTTAACATATTGAAATGTTTATTGTCTAATTTGTAAGTCAATAAGAATATATTTCCTGGATTCGAATTTTTTCTCAGTACCTCCTGGAATGTAACTGATTTAGGTAGTCTAGAATCTTTAACCTCAAATCGTTGTTATACATTGATTCAGTAGATAATTATAAAATTTGTTTTACAAATTCAATCAAGTGATATTTGATGTCAGTAACTAACTAACTGTTTGTTTTAAGGAAAGCACTTCTGTTATCTAAAATAACCCTATTTATTTTCATGTATGTAACATTTGTGTGAATAAAACTTAGCTTCTTTTTAGAATTTCTTTTAATGAAACTATATATATATATGTAAAATAGAAGTGTATTAGTAACCTTGGCATTCCGAACAGTGTGAGACTATAATTTATGGACGACCTTTGAGAGATGCTCAAGTGACCTTGAGGAATGTCTACTTACCAACTAGGACTTAATAAGGGTTATGAACCAGTACGAAGAAGTAGAATTCGAATTTGCAGTTGATGGTTAAGGTTAAAAATTAGATCTAGGATATCCATCACAAATTGACATAAGTCAAAATACCAAAATGCTATTAGACAAATAGATTGATGAATTTCGCGCCAAAATTCAAGACCTATTATCTTATATCTGATTGGTTCGTCCATAAATCTTAGTCTCGCTAACGTTATTTTGCAAAAATCAAGTTTCATAACTTAGAGATTACAGATGAAGTAGAATAGTAGTAAGATGTTTATAAAGTAATTGTTATGGAGTATAAATTGAATGATAATTTATTTGTGCACGTGAATCAGAATGACTCTAAAGAACATTTGGCAAATTTTACTTCAAAAGAATTATGAAGTTTTTTTGCCAAATATTTCACTACATTTACCTTTAAAGTAACCAAAACGTGGTATAAATTATGACTGTTTTGAATGATTTTATAGATTTGTAGTGGCATTAGATCCTAATCACAATCCTCAGAGCTGAACATGAGATAACTGGGAAAATAGACTTTCAACATTTAACGCTAAGAGAAGGTCAATAATGGTGAACGAGGTAACATTCATTCGGAATTAAATTCATCGGGTGGCATGGCTCAGCCTCGCAGGCGTGGTCATCCTCTATGACTTAATTTTATTCATATTAACTATATTGTTTTATCTCCAACCTGAATGTGTTCTCCATCATATATTGGTGATTATTACGATACGACGAGTCGGTATATAAAATGATGTGACTTCCACGTAAAATCTTACAGATTAGGCAGTCCCATCAATAACAAACCTACAATTTTAGGAGTAGATCTAATAACGAAGTAGACTATAATTCTACAGATCCTCTAAAAGTTTATTATTATTCACTGACCTATGGTTAAAGCTTATATGATGTATGATAAATACTTTGTAATCTAATTTTTTAAAAATGAATATTCACATTTTTTCAGAGAGATCAGGAAGTTATGAAGTCCTTCAGTTTAAATTTATAGATTCAATTTTTTTGTTTTTCATTGTTCTACAATGCTACCTGATAGTTTGAAATGAAGCAAATGTAAATAAATTTATGAAATTATAAGTGATGATAGTTTGACTGTAAAACTAAAGCAATATTATATATAATACATAGGATAAGTGATTTAGTCAGTGACTTAATATGTGATGGGTATATCTCAAATTATATTCAATATTACGTAGTTGAAGGTAGTTGGATTAGAAGTTCTGAATACATTTTTCACACTAGTTGGCTTTCATTGGCTAGTAATCTGGGTTAAACAAGTGCTATCCATGGAATTCAAGCTTGTCTAAAGTAACGTCATAACAAAAGACATTATCACTGTTTTATTTAGATTGCACCTGATTGCCTTTTGGAATCGTCTATAATTATTGCGTATATTATCCACTAAATAATCTATTTTTGGTAACTAACTTTAATATTTGTCAAAAAAAGACAGAAACTAGTATAATTAAATAACCGATTGCGTTTAGATACGACCTAAAACCTATAGTTTTACAACTGAATAATATATATCTGTAATATATTGTCAATATCTGCTTATAATTACGAAGGTTACTAACAGTAATAGCACGTTTATGATACAAAACGTTTCCTGAAGCTGATTTAATTACGAGATATTTTAAATGTGGGTTTACATCCGGAATGGATTATGTTTTCAATAAAAAAGTGAAAATTACTAGTTACACTCTCTAGTTATAAAAATGTTACAAATAACGGGAACTGTAAACAATATCCCTTAAATAAACATGTAATGTGGCTTAGTAATAAAGCATCTGTATCACAACTATTAAATCAAAGGACTGAATTCTCTTCTATTTTACTTCAAACTAACAATTCTTAACAATCGTCTCAATAACAAGCATGTTATTAACATGAGAATATGTATTCTGAGATTAACTAATGAGGTGCACTTAATTAAAGTGGAAAATGTAAGTCATATAAAGTTCAGATTTACTTACCCCATGTTGTTGATGGAGATGAGTAAGTTCCTGGAATAAAATAGTTCAAATAAATCATCATTTTAATTAATTTAAATTGGTTTGAATATTTTTTGTACTTTATTGGAAAATTTTCATTGTATATTCAGTAAATCACATTAATAAAACACATTCTCATCGTTTAATGATCCTCATCATATTAAAAGACTAATATGTGAACGAATAATATTCTTTTCGATAAGTTCGCTTCAGGTTCTACAATTATATATCCAAATTAGTAATCCGACAAATGGCCAGATTCAAGGCAAAGTACATCGTTTAAAGCATGCTTTATTCTTTGTTCAAAACACATTCTCCTATAAATTGGTATTAAGAACCGATGTTATGTTTTTATAGTAATATTTTCTTGAGATTTCTTGAATTCCATACATTATGGTTTCACAAAATCTTGTCTTAACTATTTTATTTTGTAAACTTGGTTTTGTTTTTTGTTTTAATTATTTCGACGGTAAATCGTCGCTAAAGCTTGAAAATTTTTGTTGAGTAATAGTTGTTGTAGAATATCAGCTAAGCATAATTAACTTAGTTGAAATATGCTATGGAGTTACAGTTCAATCAGTAATATCATCTCAATGCAATATTTGACAAGTTAACACCTGATAGCTTCTTTAATTACTCTTTGCTCTTAATTACGAGTCATTCTAACATTTTCTGCAACGTTTTAGGTGCAAAAAATGTTTTCATATATTTTTAACTATGAAGATGAAGTACGTTTTAAGTTACATAAGTAATTCTCTTGAAAAGGCTGCTTACTCTTCCTCTTTCTCTTTCTTCTGGTAGTTGGCTGGATTATGAAGACCTGAAAATCTGAGATGAAGCACGGAATAAAATGAACAGCTTGAATACAACTAAATGATTCGGACTTCGTAGATCACCTAGCTCTTTTATACCATACACACCAACAAATTTACACGAAGACAACCAGTCCAATAGTAGCAGCCTCTACATCAATACGCCTCAACATACACAAGAGAAAAGCCAACATAATCAAATACAACACGGAGAACACCAACTCAATCACACTTGATAGAGAAACTCAGGAACAGATGGAAACTTTCGCATAACTGTCTGGACAGTATCATCAATGAACAAGGAGGATTCGATTCAGACATAAACGTGATGATTGGCAAAGCAACAACAGCATTCCTACAGTTGAAAAACGTATGGAACCCAAAACAACTGTCTGTCAGTCAACATCAAAGTCCGAATCTTCAACATGAACGTCAAGACAGTTCTATTGTACGGAGCTGAAACTTAGAGAACTACTACAACCACCATCAAATAAGTACAGGTATTTATAAACAATTGTTTACACAAGGTACTGAATGTCCGTGGACCGGATGCCATCAGCAACAACCTACTGTGAGAGAGAACAAACCGGCTTCGAGCTGAAGAGGAAGATAGGAAAAGCCGCTGGAAGTGGATAAGACATACATTGTGGAAAACACCAGACTGAGTCACGAGGTATTAACGAGGTGTTAACTTGGTATCCTGAAGGGAAGTGGAAAAGAGGGAGGGCAAAGAACCCACTGCATCGGGAATGGGAAGCAGATATGAGAATGGTAAATAGTAACTGGAAAGGATTGGCTAGAACAGGGTTCGATAGAGAATCATGTTGGGCGGCATACGCTCCTCCACGACGAGTAACAGGTGTAAGTAAGTAATTCTAGATAAAAGTTCTTACAGTATTAGTTCGTAGGAACAGTAGCAGCACAATTTCGACGGTGGATCTATTTTCGCTTTGAAGATTATGAGGTTGTGGTTTTCTGCTATCCCAAACTCTTTCATAAATTCATGTTTTTTCTGTAGACAAACTAATGAAAATTTAAAATTCATTTATAATGTCTTTTTCTTCAACATTTCTTAGATTATGAATATATATGGTAAAAATGTTTGCATACCATTGAATTTGTTTTTAATCCCTTCCCCCCATTAAGTTCTTCACATTCATACCGGTATTCACATAAATGTCAAACCGGAAGCATTAGTTTACATATAGACTATTCACATTTATACAATAACTATGATAATTCATGAAAATGATTGTCACAATACAAACTTCATGATTAAATAACAATAATAGACGTTGTTATCAAAATTAATTATCTCATAGCCTTTGTTTTCTATGCATTTTTAATTGAAATTAAACCTCTAGACAAACAAATAATGGCGGTCAATAGACAATAAACACAAACTGTACTTTAATGTATTCTACTTGATAACTGAGGAAGTAGGTCGACATACAATGTAATACGATGAAACAACCTAACATCAGTATAGGCTAGATATAACTGGAAGGGAGTTTTCTAAAGAGTTTATCCAATAGTTGAAATAAGTAATTTTTTACATTAAGATAGATACAACTAATATTCAAATTAATGTAAGATTACACTCTGCACATTAGACATTTTACTCAAATCCTTAATAATTGAGACATTTTCTATGTTGGTTTAACACAATCAATCAATTTATTAAGGAAACTTTGCTAGAATTCGTATATTTTAGTATGGAAAGACAACGATTTTAAATTAAATATAATAATCCAGTCAGAAAAATAGAACGTACTGATTGTAGTATAAGATCTTAGGATTAATTTAATATCGCCGTATTCATCGCTGTTATAAAAATAAACTATATATTGTAATAATAAAAAGTAAATAATGTCAAACTTCTATGGACTAGCAAATTCTAACAGTTCATCACCCGTGTTTGTATTATAAACAAACATAAAGGATTGAAAGTATTAGAATTTACCGTCTACTAATTATGATAGAATGTATATATTTATTTACAATAATGAAATAATATTCATCGAGTGGATATGTTACGTAACAATTACATAATGACATTTCAGTTATAAATTAAAATTGAGTAATTGGAAGAAAGAGGATTAATAATAATCTAAGTAATTATTCGAAATTCAAGAAGTTGCTACGTTGCATAACATATGAAAAAGGGAAGGAACAGAATATTTTTTGATGAGTGGTCAGTAGAATTGTAGTTATGCAAGAATCAAGAACTCGGCTTTCGAACGTTGGAATCCGCAGATGACCTAGCCCTTCCATCGCATACACACGAACAAATGCAGATATAGACAGCCAGTGTAGCAGCAGTCTCTGCATCAGTAGGCCTCAACATACACAAGGGAAAAACCAAGGTCCTCAAATACAACACGAGGAACACCAATCCAATCACTCTTGATGGCGAAACTCCGGAAGATTTAGAATCTTTCACGTACCTAGGAATCATCATCGATGAACAAGGAGGTTAAGATGCAGACGTAAAAGCGAGGATTGGTAAAGCAAGTGCCGCATTCCTACAATTGAAGAACATATGGAACTAAAAACAACTTTCAATCAATATCGAAATCAGAATCTTCAATACGAACGTCAAGGCAGTTCTACTGTACCGAGCTGAAACTTGGAGAACTACAACAAACACCATCAACAAGATACAAGTATTTATAAATAGCTGTCTGTGCAAGATACTCAACATCCATTGGCCGGACACCATCAGTAACAGCTTTTTGTGGGAGAGAACAAACCAGCTTCCAGCTGAAGAGTAAATTAAGAAAAGACGATGGAAATGGATAGGACATACATTACACAAATCATCAAACTGCATCACTAAGCAAGCCCTAACTTGGAATCCTGAGGGGAAGCGGAAAAGAGGAGGGCCAAAGAACACATGACGTCTGGAAATAGAATCAGATATGAAAAGGATGAATAACAACTGGAAAGAGCCGGAAAGGATTGCTCAGGACATGGTTGGATGGAGAATGCTGGTGAGTGGCCTGTGCTCCTTCGCGAGGAGTAACAGGTGAAAGTAAGTAATTAAGAATCAACAGATGAATGTTGAGAACAAGTAAAACACTAAGTTCAAAAAACAAAAAAATAAAAATAAAAATGGAAGAAGTACGAAAATAGTTTATCAATGTTCTTCTACAAACGCCCCTATAGCGATGGTTGAAGCCATTGTAATCCATGTTCACAAACCTAAACTTTGCATCCAAAATAAGTTTGTAAAGCCACTTACGCTACCTCGGCAATCGGTATAGGGTCGTTTGTAGCAGAACATTGATAAACTATTTTCGTACTTCCATTTTTGTTTTTTTAAGTTTGTGTTTTACTTATTCTCAACATTCATCTCTTGATTCTTGCATAACTACAATTCTACTGACCACTCATCAAAAAATATTCTGTTCCTTCCCTTTTTCATATGTTATGCAACGTAGCAACTTCTTGAACTTCGAATAATTACTTGGATTATTATTAATCCTCTTTCTTCCAATTACTCAATGTTAACATATTTATTTGCAGATTCAGTAGTATGCTAGATAAACTGGATTGACAACTTTAACTAATAATAGGTCAAACACTAAACATGACATCTATCTAAAATACAACAAACATGTGGGGGTTATATTAATTAAGGTAGTTCTATAGAGAATTTTGTTAATTTTGAAGTTCATTTTGATCACGACGTAACATCATATGAAACTACTAAGACAACCATATTGCCCTAGATAACATTTCCATTCTGTTAACATTATGAGTTCTTGGACAGTGTTGAGTTTTATAGTCTACATTAGGGTCTGACCTTAGCCAAACAGCATTTGAAAACCATGAAAAGCCGGACAGTTGATTCACCCTAGTATGGGACTTCTCAGATGTGCGGGGACTAATTAAAGTTATCAGTGCATACCATTAGATACCAACTCATCTGTCTAAAAGTAAAGCACTCACAGAGAGACCTGAGAGTCTTGAGGTAGACCCTTTGTATGGTCGTGAGTTAGCACTGCTGAGTCCCATATTATGAGGAAATAGTCGTTCAGTTTGTTTTGGTTTCTACTGGTTGCTTAGTTCAGGTTAATAGGTTATAGCTTGTTGTAACCTGTGAATTTACCTACACAGAACTATCTGAAAACTATTTACATGGTTGTAAGTGGCTTAATTTGTAGAAGTAGGTAAAATTAAAGAACTCAATAGATGAAAACCTAATCAATTTGTGCTTACGAATTCTAGACCCGATCCAGATCAAGATACACTAATTTGTTTACTCAAAATGGTATTGGTGTAACTGTTCATTGAAGCTACTTTCCGGTAAATCTCATTGTTTTTATTCCATGTAGGAATTAGATATAGATTTGACTTCATTCTTAACTGGCACTCTATCTATTGTGAAGATATGACTCAAACAAATTTTGAAATTTCACAAATGATCACAGATAAAAGTGATTAATCTATTAATCTCAAAACTTTGAGTGATGTTATTCAATCACCTTGTCAGGCACTTAAACTCGTTATTGTCGTTCTCGAAGTAAGCCTCTTAAAACTTCTATGTTAAAATCAGATTTATTGTATATACTCACTTAGGGGTATTAATTAACCTTTACATAGTCTCGGTAGAACAACTTACAAACTTAACTATTCGATATTTTTTCTACTAGTTTTGTCACTCGTGATTGATTTATTATCCTAAGTGACACAATCATATCTTATGTTGACCTACCATCTATAATAAGTTTTTAACCCTCTTCTGGGATCTTGGCAGACTCATTTTCATAATCGAGAAATGAAATAATTTAAGAATGGGGATTTGTGGAGATTGTAGTAATTTTAACAGCTGAATCCATAAGCCTAAGTTAGACCACCATCATGAATCGAATGAAGTTAAACATTAACACCGTTGGATGTCGGCTCAGTGGCCTAGAGGTTAGGCGTTTGCACGCAAGACCGAAGTCAGTGGGTTTAAGTCCCACGTGAGGGGTCTCGGGTGAGCACCAGCGAAAAGTCTGATACTAGGACGAAAGAGCCGTCCAGTACTTCCAGGTTTTCAATGGTAGTTTAGCTTAGATCGACCTACGAATTCAACTATTGAAAATATTTAACTTAGGTTATATCCCTCAGAAATGCTTAGAAGCTAAGAAATTTCTAATTTGCACATTTAAAATAATATGACTGACAAAAGGTTAAAAAATAAACTGAATAATTGAAAACTTACTAAATATTTCTGTACTATTGCGAAATGTACCAAACGGTGTTTCAACTACACATGTATAATAACCATAATTAGCCATAGTTAAATTAGCTATAAACAAAGTTGTTCTGATTATTCCATGTTTAGAATTTGCTTTGTCTTAAAACAAACAAGAAAGAAATGAGTAAAAGCAAAATCATAAAATAAATATGGATTTATTATTATTATTCTGACTACAAGTAACATTGTTATATGGTTTGTCTTTGTTGCATCGGGGTGAGGAAAAAAATTAGCAGACTATAAATTTAGATATAAGCGTAAACACAAAAATCCAGGCAAACAGAACTGACGACTTCTAAATGTGAGAACGGCTCCCGGGTGAATTCAGGGAAGCTCTAAGACGCTCATAAAGAGCCGAAGACATTTCATCCAATCATCTTTTGGAAGAACATTCCAGAATCTTGACGTGTAGCCTCTCGATTGAACAAATGCTAAAAACCACTGCACGCGGATTAGATGACTGTAATGATGATTTTCTTTTTACTAAAATCTATAAATACCTGAGACTTTCGCACCATATTTGACACTTTGGAATAACATTCCTTCTCACTCGCAACTTCGGAGGGTTCTAGCGTTGGAGTGCTCAAGTGGTACGCGGCATAGCAAGAAACTAAGCTCTAGGTAGAACACTTAACACCAGAGAGTCTCCCCGAAAATGAATCTTATAGTTTAAGATGCCTATTGTAATCTGAATGATATCAGAATGCATATAGAAATAATCCATAGTCACTTGCATGAAATGATTGATCAGTCGGTTAAAAATAGTACTAAAGGAGAAAAGCAGTTACAACCAGGTATATCTGTTTTTTATGTTTTATAATTGAGTAAAAAGTATTGGGTTAGAGAGTGCCAACGGGTTATTTAACCTTCAACATTGTTGCTATGATAGGCTTCACTACATCAGTATTTCTATATGATATTCATTGATTAATTTCCATATATATTTTTTAAAAACACACTATCAACAAAAAGAGTAAGCTTCTAACAGTAGTCTATCAGCAGAAAACTGTGATCTAAGTGATTTTTCTAAATATTAACAGTACATATCTTAAAAGATCCAGACCTGATTTCAAGAGTGTATAAAATACTGAAAACTGAAGCTTGTTTGTCAATTGTTAACATAATTACACTTCAGATCCAAAGTGATCATATATTTCTACTCACATTTTGTTATAAAATGTATTTCATAAGACGAAATATCTTATTTATTACCTTTTGCTATTCCTTATAGAATGTCATTTACTCAAACTTGTTAATACTAATTTAATCACTTTTAAATAAGTGAATGAATAAATGAATAATTTCAATGGTTGAAATCATAAGTCAATTGAAGCTAGACCACCATGGGAAACCTAGAAGCACTGGACGGCCGTTTAGTCCTGGTATGGGACTCCTCAGCAGTGCGCATCCACGACACCGCCTCCCGAGAGATTCGAACCCAGGACCTATCAGTCTCGCGCGCGAGCGCATAACCACTAGACCACTGAGCCGGCCGTCATCCAACGGTGTTAATGTCTAACTTCAACCAATCCACGAAATTGAGCGACACATTCACCATTGTCATCAGTGAGTTGCTATCTCACAACAGACCTGGTTGAAGTCTACTGATAACGGCTTCTAGTGGGAAGCCGCGGGGGGCGGGATCGGGGATGTGCACTGCTGAGGAGTCCCATATTAGGACTAAGCGGCCGTCCAGTGCTTCCAGATTTTTCATGGTGGTCTAGCTTCAATTGACTCATGATTTCAACTATTGAAATTTCTAAAATCTCCACAAAACTCCTTCTAAAAATGAATAATTATTCATTTTTTCGAGGTTTAATTCATATGGTTTTATTTATTTAAGTCATTTGTAAACATGTATACAATCGATACTTGAATACATATTTACAAATATAAACAATAGATGTATACAATTTCATCAAAATTAGGTTAATTTAATAAATAATTTGTGGAGCATTCTATTAGTTTGTTTATCAATTAACTTGTCTTACTACTATTACTACTACTACTATCTATCTATCTATTCATCTGTCTGTTCATTGAAATCATTTCAATGAATTTCAAATATTGTAATCTTAATTATATTTTTTTAAAAATATGAGAATACATTGAAATAATTAGTTAACAATGAATTTATGAAAAATGTCACTTTATTTTACAATTTTCATTAAGGTTAATGATTATGATCATTATCAATTACTTAATTATAACTTATCGGTTAGTTTTATGTATGTAAAATGTGTAAACTATAGAAACGTATTATTGAATGTCGATAAGTATATATATATATATTATTGGAATACTTCGATTGTGAGTTGAAACGTACATTGGTATGATAAAGGAATTATATCAAATTAAAATAATGATCCGTTTGGTTTTTTCGAAGATTTTATTTGTAAATACCGAGTTTAAATTGTCCAAATATTACTGATTTCAATTTTAATAGTATAAATCAATCACATTTCACTGATTTATTTGTTAAATATTATTGAACGGTTATTGATTTATAGCATTTTCTCGCCTTCTCTTGCTCTCCCTCTCTCTTTCAGTTCGATTTTAAGCTAACGTTAACAAGTCATATTGAATCCATAATAAATTGAAATATATTATTTATGATATCATTAGGAAAAAATAGTGGATATTTCAGACTTCGAATAATTTTTCTATTGATAGTATTCAATGAATAAGTTTCCTGGTGTAGTATTGTGGTGTGTGCTACTGATATCGATAGATATAAGTAGTATGTATCATTAATCGGAAGTGAAATACCTGGTGGTAGAAGGTTAAGAAGATCAAAGGAAAAAGAACGAGAACGGAGAATGATTGTTGTGGAAACGAATGGACAATGAAGTCTGAGACGATTGAGTGACGTTTTCAAATGAAGTATTTACTGTATGGTTCTCAGATTTTACTATGAGAAATTGTAATTTTGTATTCGAATACATTCGATTTTCCCCAGTTGTATTGTCGTTCACTACAGTATTAATGCCGGAATATTAACACTGTTAATAATCTACTAAAAAATTTTTCTGACCTCCATAAATAAAACTTTTAATTAATCAAGATTCTTACTTACAAAATCTAAACTTGATTCTTGACCGCTTTTCTGTTGTCTTTGAGTATAATTCTCTGTGAAAGTGTATTTACGAACTAATTGGACATAAAATAGTAACTGTTTTATGTCTAGAGCTATAATAAAACACTATCACTACTAATGTTGACGGTTGAGGTGTAGCGATCAAGAACACAACTGGGGAAAGTCGAATTTATTTGAATACAAAATTACAGAATATTTTAGTAAAATCTGAGAACCATACAGTAAATACTTCATTTGAAAACGTCACTCAATCGTCTCAGACTTCATTGTCCATTCGTTTTCACACCAATCGTTCTCCGTTCTCGTTCTCTTTCCTTTGATCTTCTTAACCTTCTACCACCAGGTATTTCACTTCCGATTGATGATACATACTACTTATATCTATCGATATCAGTAGCACACGCCACAGAAGCTTATAAAAACAACACACAACTAGTCTTATAAATAGTAAACATATATGCATTCTCTATTTAATTAACATTTAACTTCAACTATTTATCTAATTGTGCAAAATAAAAGCAAAGTATGTATTTTCGGCTTCAGATCATGACCACGCTTACTCACGAACAACGTTTATTGAACGACTGAATGACTATTATTCAATCCTCATCAAGTTGAACTCTGTAGCTGAGTGAATAAAACATAGGTGTTTGTAGTGAAAGCCATTGAGCTTGAGTCACGGAGAGAACGACAACTCTGGGACATAAATCTGTCTATCTGGCAAGCCCCTAAACAGTGCGTGAAGCGCCTCATTCATTTCACTGCTAGTCACTATCCATCTCTATTCGGAATGCTTTTCTTTTCTAAGCTCTGTAAACCAAGTTTCAGTACTATTTGAGGTGCAATGTTGAATACAGCTACATCTAGATGACAGTTTTAAAGTAGTCTCAGTACATGCTTAGAACTCTTTACTTAAGAGCTATAAATATTACTTTTTGCATATTTTAACCAAATAAAGTGAATACATTCTGAGTAGTGAAATTTAAATATCTTACTAAATTTAGCATTTTGGGATGGTGTTGTTTTAATGGTAAGGGTGAAATTTTAAACCTGCTATTTCAGTCATATTTATTCTTCAACACACCATATCCTAAATTGCCATAACACATTTTGGATAATAGAATGTAATTCCAGTTACACACTAAAATGATGAATGGATTATTAATATAAATTAATGAAAACACACTTTTGAATTAATTCCCTACTTACCGACAAGGATACAATATTTTTCATTCGGCATCGGTACGAGACAATTACTATTGGGTCCATGTATTGGCCTTCCTTCAAATTCCCAGTAAAATAAATTAATTGGATTGCCAGAAATCACAGCTCGTACCATTGTCGTGCCTTTAAGTAGTTGGCCAAGCTTGAGATTGGCCATTTCAATAGTTGGAGGATCTAGAATGATAAAAATTCTTGCATAATTTCAAATGTATTTTCCAGATTAAACAAAGTCAAAACACTGCGTCATTCTACGCTAACTCTAGATACATGCATAAACATTTATTTTTCATGCCAGTCAAAATTTTAACTATGATAACACTATAAGTCAGAAAGATACAAAAACATTTATCTAACAGAACTAATGATATATCAAGATCCCTAACTCAACTAAAATTTACGATATGTTAAATTTCCATTTGATATTATTGACGAAAGAGAAGACGGCTATAGTTTTACAATGACACGGAACAAACAATACTAATTGTATAATAATACTGATTCCCAAGTGTTCTGTTAGTAATTTGTAGTTTGTTATTTTCTATCTTCTTTCAGACACATATTGACCTTTTGAAAATTCCCTGTACTTCCTAAATTACATGTACATTATTTTAATAATGTTCTTTCGGGATAAATCCTTTTCATCATAATCATTTGACGGAAGGATACTGCCACACTAAGTCATGCATTATTTGTGTTGTTCATCTAACACTTAATATAATGATTATGTCCAACAGAAACTATTGATTTAGTACCTATTGTGATTAATGTTTCGTCTATCAAAGTGCAGAAATATGATCGTTTTAAGTTGTAATACCACTGTTAGTTTTTTTATATTTCATTTGAGCATAGAATCAAAAGTGGTAATAGTTAATCTTATAAAACTCTTTGCTGTAATTATCACTAAATATTTCATCAGCTTTTATACTACTCATTTCGATATTTAGTAAATAGAGTGAATAGAAGGAAGAAATTTCTTTTCAATCAGTTTACTATAATATATATATATATATATATATATATATATATATATATATATATATATATATATATATATATTATGAAAGTAATTATTCTTCCAATTGCTCAACATTATTTTATAAATACTGTGATGCCACATAGTTGTTGCATAACAGAAATACTCAATGAAACTGATCAATTGCAGTCCTAAATAACAATGGGAAGATACAAGTAAAACAACACCAAGTGAATTTAAACTTCACCTCACTGCACAAGCAGGTGGCTATCAGGACTGAGTAACTAAGAGAATAACGCGATGGTGTTTGAAGCGGACCCTGGGTTTGAGTCCCGGAGTGAACATCAACTTTGCGATGCAGTTACATCCAGCTGACGAGTCCCAAATAGGACGAAACGCGCGTCCTGGATTTCACTGCTAGCCACTATCCATCTTGCTTAAAAAGCCTGTGACTTAAGGGTATAAGGAGGCAATCCGCACAGGATGCACATATGTGAGAATTATATATATATGATGGAAAACTAATTGAAAAAAATTCCTTCACTCTACTCATTCTTTTCATGATACTATAGGAATTATCGAACTGATACTTCATGCTACTTATCACAAATTAGTAGCATAATCAGGTTTCTTTGCTGTCAAAACAGATTCGATAATTACGCCTAAGTATAAAATTTTAGTTCTATAATTCCTGTTAATAATACTATGCTTACCATATTTGATGAGTGAAATATCTCTACAGTTCCAAAAATTTTTTAATAGTAAAGTTGACAGAATACTTGAAATTCAATTTTTTAACAAACATGTATAAACATACATTTATTACTTACATCTTACATCCAGCTCTATTACACGCCATGCGTTTTGTTCTAACCCATTTTGTGCTAAACATTTATAAGTTCCTTGCAAATCACGAGTTATATTTGAAATAATTAACTCATTCGGTTTAATCATGAATCCTTTAGGTAAAATATGACAAATTAAAGTAGAAAACATTTAGTTAACTTTCAAATACTCATCAATAATATAAACAGTCCTATTACAGTACATAGTTTTGTAGATTGCTAAGTTTCACTGAGATCATAAACCGAAAAATGTTAGACCATCATTAAAAACCTGGAAGATGGTCGCGCAATATCGTTGATTGATTGAGGTCAGATATTAACACCGTTGGATACCAGCTAGTACAGTTGTCTGGAGTTTAAGATTCCGTATGTGAGACCACAGGTCCTCGGTTTGAATCCCGCTTGAGGGATCTTGGATGCGCACTGCGAAGGAGCTCCTTACTGGGACAAAAAGACCATCCAGTCCTTCCAGGGTTTTGATGGCGGTCTAAAATTGATCGGTTCATGATCTTAATGAAATTGTACTACAAATGGTAGACCGAAGATCAGCGGCTTCAGTTTTGAGCGAGCAAAGAATTCTTTGTAAATAATCCAAATTATTTGTTGAAATTAATCGAATATGTATTGGAAATTTAATTATTTGTTGATCAAGATTATTGAAAACGATACGGACTACTTATTTATGTCTTAAGAGGTACACCAATTAATCACCCATATATTTTAATCCAAAGCTAACTAAAAAGCAACTCAGCATGGAGTCCCTCCGGAGGCTACTGCCGGTCCCAAGCCCGGATAAAGGAGGAGGGTTGGGCACGGGGTTAGCGACCACATCCCGTAGAAGACTAACTCGCTAAAAAACGCCAACCAGGAAAATTTATTCATATCTTTTAAACTCTGCCTTGAAGGTCAGAAGGTCTTCATTTGGAAGAATTATGACGCAACATGATGAAAACCGAGTTCTTTCGTAAGTCACGAGGCTGATGCCACTCCTGAGAACCAGAGCAACCATTTATTTGGGTAAATGCAATGCTCGTACAATGTGCGACACTAAGAGAGCCTTCCCAATTGCTTCAGAAATGAGGAGATACAACCTAGAGGTGCTTGGGATCAGTGAAACACATTGGACGCAAGTTGGACAACAACTACTAGCTTCATCGGAGCTTCTGTTATACTCCGGTCATGAAGAAGAAAATGCACCACATACACAAGGAGTTGCACTGATGCTGTCCAAACAAGAAAAAAATGCACTTATAGGATGGGAATCTCATGAACTAAGGATCATCAAAGCCTCCTTCAAAACAAAGAAAGAGGGCATTTCAATGAACGTCATCAAATGCTACGCGCCTACCAACGACTACAATGAAGACGCTAAAGATCAATTCTACAATAGGCTGCAGTCAATCGTCGAGAAGTGCCCAACAAAGGACCTGACCATCCTGATGGGAGATTTAAATGCCAAGGTTGGAACGGACAACACTGGATATGAAGACATAATGGGACGACACGGACTAGGAGAAAGAAACGAAAATGGTGAGAGATTTGCAAACCTATGTGCCTTCAATAAACTGGTCATAGGCAGCGCTATATTCCCACATAAACACATACACAAAACCACATGGACTTCACCGGATCACTCTACACAAAACCAAATCGACCATATCTGCATCAACAAAAAGTTCAGGAAGACGATGGAGGACGTGAGAACCAAGAGAGGAGCTGATATATCCTCAGATCATCACTTGCTAGTCGCCAAGATGAAATTGAAACTCAAGATGCACTGGACAACGGGGCGGACAATATTAAAAAAGTTCAATACAGTTTTTCTTCGGGATAGTGACAAACTCAACAAATTCAAGATATCTCTCAGCAACAAATTCCAGGCCTTTCATGATCTACTCAATGGAGAAGGAACTACTATGGAGAGCAACTGGAAGGGGATCAAAGAAGCAATCACTTAAACCCCCCAATCGATGCTGGCCCACCAACAATTGAGGAAACCAGCATGACCGTCGGACAAATCAAGAGTGGCAAAGCAGCAGGACCAGACAATCTTCCATCAGAGGCACTAAAAGCAGACGTAGCAGCAACTGCAAGGATACTCCACATTCTCTTCAATAAGATTTGGGATGAGGAACAAGTACCAAAAGACTGGAAAGAAGGACTTCTGATCAAAATACCGAAGAAAGGTGATCTCAGCAAGTGTGATAACTACAGGGGCATCACTCTTCTCTCAATACCGGGAAAAGTCTTCAACAGGGTATTGTTAAACAGGATGAAGGACTGCGTAGACGCCCAACTTCGTGACCAACAGGCAGGATTCCGTAAGGATAGATCGTGTACAGACCAAATCGCAACTCTACGGATCATTGTGGAACAATCAATTGAGTGGAATTCATCACTCTACGTCAACTTCATTGACTACGAAAAGGCATTTGATAGCGTGGACAGAACAACACTATGGAAACTTCTTCGACACTACAGTGTGCCTCACAAGATAGTCAATATCTTACAGAACTCATATGATGGATTACGCTGCAAAATCGTGCATGGAGGACAGTTGACAAAGTCGTTCGAAGTGAAGACCGGTGTTAGGCAAGGTTGCTTACACTCACCCTTTCTCTTTCTCCTGGTGATCGACTGGATCATGAAGACGTCAACATCTAGAGGAAAGCACGGGATACAGTGGACATCTAGGATGCAGTTGGACGATCTAGACTTCGCAGATGATCTGGCCCTTCTATCCCAAACGCAAAAACAAATGTAGGAGAAGACAAACAGTGTGGCAGCAGCCTCAGCAGCAGTAGGTCTCAATATACACAAAGGGAAAAGCAGGATTCTCCGATACAACACAGAATGCACCAATCCAATCACAATTGATGGAGAAGATTTGGAAGATGTAAAAACCTTTACGTATTTGGGCAGCATCATTGGTGAACAGGGTGGGTCTGATGCACATGTGAAGGTGCGGATCGGCAAAGCAAGAGCAGCATATTTACAACTGAAGAACATCTGGAACTCAAAGCAACTGTCAACCAACACCAAGGTCAGGATTTTCAATACAAATGTCAAGACAGTTCTACTGTATGGGGTGGAAACCTGGAGAACTACGAAAGCCATCATCCAGGAAATACAAGTGTTTATTAACAATTGTCTACGCAAAATACTTCAGATCCATTGGCCGGACACTATTAGCAACAACGTACTGTTGGAGAGAACAAACCAGATCACAGTGGAAGAAGAAATCAGGAAGAAGCGCTGGAAGTGGATAGGACACATATTGAGGAATTCACATAACTGCGTCACAAGGGAAGTCCTGACATGGAAAAGAGGAAGACCAGAGGACAAATTACGCCGAGAAATGGAGATAGACATGAGAAGAATGAACAAGAATTGGACAGAACTAGAAAAGAAGGTCCAGGGCAGAGTGAGTTGTAGAATGCTGGTCGGTGGCCTATGCTCCATTAGGAGTAACAGACGTAAGTAAGTAAGTAAGTAATATCTGACTCTTAAAAAGTGTAGACATAGAATGTATAAAAACTAAGGTGAAGTTGTCTCAATTGTAAACGATATTCGGAATTTAATCTACTGAGCATATCTATCGTGAATCCGAACCATTATAAGTGTAGGATTGTATAAGAAAAGTTTCAAAAGTCTATTTTAGTGTTGCTAATTTCTATTTCGAAACTACAAATTACACTGAAATTCAAATGGTTTTTTTAAAGATTCTATGGCTATTCTCCTACGTTGAACTGATTAAATACAAACACATATTATCTCATCAAATACAGTTTATCTAACATAAACTCCGAGATACGAAGTAGACATTTTGAAAAACAGGGATACTTTATACTTCGTTAGTTAGTTAGTTAGTTAGTTAGTTAGTTAGTTGAATTTCTCAAATATAATGATAATCTGGACTGTATTAAATAATCAGGTCTGTCGTGAGATAGTAATTCACTGAAAACAATGGTGAACGGTGGCTCACTTTCGTGGATTGGTTGAAGTTAAACATTAACACCGATCGGCTCGGCGGTCTAGAGGTTAAGCGCTTGCGCATGAGACCGATAGGTCTTTTGTTCGAATCCCGCGGGACGGAATCGTAGATGCACACTACCGAGTATTCGCACAGTAGAACAAAATGACCGTCCAGTGCTCCCAGGTTTTTCATGGTGGTCTAGCTTCAAATGACTCATGAACTCAACTATTAAATTACTATAATATCCACAAAAAACCTCTTCTCATAATAACATATTCTGATATTTCATATTTAAATAGACAGTGGATGTGTATATGTTAATACACCACTAATTCCTTCTAATATTGATTCAGGAATAAATTGTAAATAATAAGTAGATTATCAAATAAAGTAAACCATAATGTTCATAACTTTTCAAATCTCTTATTACTCAACCATTCACAAGTACATTTAGAATTAATTTATCAAATATTTAATTACTATACTATACTTCATTCATTTTAATAGACTAATGATAATTTAGTCTATATATACTGGATGAATGTCATGTTTACTAGCCTTGATGTCTGTTATTACTATGCTGCATTTCATATCTGTTTACCAAATTATTGCTGTTAATATCATTATGCAATAGATCAGTAGAAATATTTAATTTACTATGGTAACAGAAACAGAAAAGTATGTTTCTCATATATCCATTACCTTTCAATATAAATTTCTTTCAAAACTGTTATCAATGGAAACTATAATTATTAATTTAAAGTGATTTGATTTAATCTTGTATAAAATTTATATAGAAAGAAAATAAATAGAAATTATTATATATGGTATATTAAAATGTTTATTTTACTTTTGTCAGTTGCTTCATATATTCTATATTGACGTCCTTCTTTCGGTGTTAAATACCATGTAATAATAGGATCTGGTACTCCCCAAGCTTTACAGTGTAAGATAATTGCTTCACCTTCATGTGCTGTTACTCTTGTGGAGCTGGAACTATTTTCAGAAATAACCGGAGGTACTATGAAAATAAAGAGTAAATGATGTATTTTATTTGGTACTTATAGTTCATATGAAATATTAAAACTATATGGGAATGTGTGTAATGAAAGTACCATGTAAATATCATATTTGAAAACGTTGCTCAAACAAATCAGATTTATAAATTTATATACATTTCTGGATTTTAAGTAGACCTATAATAATTTTTATAAAGTAAGAAACCTACCTCGGAACTGATAATAATTAATAGTAAGATAACCGAGTACTATTATATGTGATTGTATTTTGACCTTCCTGACTCAGGCAAGTTGCATTTTCACATAAATTTTACCAATATGCAACATTGTGAGTTCAGTTAATAAACACACGCTTATTCTAGGTATCTACAAATTCGGAGTATTACGTTTAAGATAGTTGTTATGTAGTATAAATGTTTGTAAAGTTTGATATTCAGTGATTTTAGAAATATATGAATAAAGTCCAGTCAAGAAAGTATAGTATTAACTACGCTATTTAGTAGATACAAGTAATCACAGGTCACTGGATAACCTAGGTTATATATGGAAGATGAAATATGTACGGGTCTTACTAAGTTTTAAAAGTGGTAGCGTACAGCATAACAATGAGATATTAGAAAAACTTGAAATTTGTGTTTGTACTATGAGAGCTGGATACTTATTTTCTGAAGAGGTAAAACATGGCTACTGAAATTGGTTAGCCAATATTCACTGCGACAGGAAGCTACGTATTTTCGAACAGAGGTATCTGAATCTCGCCTAGACTTAGTTGCCTTCGAAAAGAATTGTGGTGAAACTATGTTATATGAAGAGAAAAGAAATTATACGATTAGTATATTTTATGTGGTTCATCTTGTGTATCTCCATTTAGTATGATCTCATCCATACAGGAAAGCAAATGTCAACTTTGAGAATTATCTAGTTCGTTGTAACAAGTTATTGGTTTTTTTCGCATATAATCAAATGCGATTTAGTCATTAAATAATTTAATATACTAAAGCTTACCAAGTACATTGAGGTAAACACGTTGTTTATAAACCGTATGACCATTTGAATATAAGCATACATATTCACCTTCGTCTGTTCTTTGAACACGGTCAATACGAAGATCAAGTATTGTCTGATCAAATGATGACATATCCAGTATGTATCGAGTATCTGAATGAAGTCGTCTGTTATTATAAATAAGATATTCATTGGTTTTAGTTCTTTTCCATAAAAGCTGTACAAAATAGTTAGGCAAATATTTGAATTAATTTATGAATTTAATCATAATTTTTAAGTAATACCTCGTTTAAGTCATCAACTGTGTTAATTGAAAGCATATTAAATAATTATTTGAAAAACTGTCTAAAAATAACTAGTATATACCCAATGGGTATTAGATAGAGAAATTGAAAAGAAAACTCAAAAACTTTTATAACGTTTTTTTACGGGAACCCAATAATTTAGGTACCATGTATCTCATTGAAAAACCAAGATATTGTCGGACTTTCAAGAAACGATTTCTATCAGCAATATAGAACAAGATGTCAAGTTTCAATGGATAATTTAAAATTTTATGAATTTTACGGTACTATTTTATGGTAAGCTAAAAGCAAAACAGCCTGAGAACTTCGAATCTCATTATATGAATATTGCTTTCTGTCTAATTGTCAAAAAATCACACTATGAACTGTATGGTTCCCATTTTACAAATAAATTGTAATCCTAATCCACTCAAGATTTTTATATATAAATACTATTCATTCACTAGAGTATTTCAGCTATTCGTGTTAACAGCTTATTTGCTTAATTCCAGAAGTAAATTCATATTTGCATAACTATTGTTTGTATGTAAGAAACTTTAATTTCGATTTCATTTACCTATTCGTCACATTTACCATTTTATTTGAAGTGTTATTACAAATGTGGAAAAGCATTTATACGATTATTCTTTTTATTTGTTAGGTGTTGGATAAGTGTTCTTGAATTATATATATATATATATATATATATATATATATATGAAGATTATTCTCTGGTTAAGTGCGAAAAAACTACTCAATTATATTAGTAGTATAAATACTGAACACACTATAATGATATTTATTTTGTAATTCATTTTTGATGAACTAAATTGAATTCCCTTGTTTATATATACGTATATTCATTTAACATTGTTGAGTTGAAAGCGATCTATCAAAAGTGTTTAGATTAGGAATATGTTGTGTTTTTTTATTACCATATGTTGAACATCCATTTGAATACATGGTATTATTAAGGAAGTAAATTCGTATCTTCAAAAAAGCGATCAACATATGACAGTATTATCTTAATATTTTTGTTTAGCTGGCTTAAAGATTTCTATAAAATTCCAGTTAAACTAAGGGAGGCCGTTCAATGCTTTCAGGTTATCAATGGTGGTCTAAAATAGATCGATTCAATTATCTCCCAAATCCCTTACTGATAATTATCATGTGCTCACTAGTGACTGTCTTTTAAAGGTATTTCCTGGAGTTCTAGTGAGAAGCCGTGACTAGTGGAGCTAATCCGTGTCAAGTAGAGACAGGTATCTACCTCAGATAATGGAAGATGGTCGTGCAATTTTATGAATTAATTGAACTTAGACATTAACACCGTTGGATGCCGGCCGGCTCAGCCGTCTAGAGGTTAAGCGTCCGTGAGCTATACCGAAGGTCTTGGATTCGTACCTCGTTTGCAGGATCCTGGATGCACATTGCGGAAGAGTCCCATACTAGAAGAGAACGGCCGTTCAGTACTTTTAAGTTTCCAATGGTGATCTAACATCGACCCATTCATGATATCAATCTAAGCTAAACTACTTTTCTAAAAATTTTAGGAGGATATTCTTCTTTCATATGAATTACTAGTTGACAATCCATCAAATGTTTCATAAATGAATATGTTATTGGGACCAATCGTTTTACCTTGACAACTTAAAGCTATCTAGAATGAATCGAATTTTATGAATGACCCATAAATTTCATTTTGTCTACATTGTAGAGTGTTCATCCACGAAAGATATTTCGTTGAAGTTTAAAATAGTATACGAACATCTTATTTGGTTAGAGAGATTAATTGTCAATATATTAAATGAATAATCCTTTAGTCTGTAATTGATATATTCTATCTTTATTGACAGTTAGATTACAATCAAAGCAATGATTCTATGAAGCAAATTAGTAAGGAAATTAAAACGGTTTTCAAGACATCCTGAAGAAAAGCCTATCTTTTTATTTCAGACAGTGTACATAATCGCCCAATCTAAACAATATTGGATTCATTCTCACACAAATACATTTACGTTGTATTAGGATGTAAACGCAGGTAAATTTCTAGATTAGAGAAGCATATACCTACTACAGTTTCGGGGTATATTTCAAGATACTTAACTTCTATGATCCCTAAGATACTTCACATTTGCAAATATTCACTGTAGGGATTTCAATGATAGCATCAAAGTTATGTCATATTATTGATTAATAATCATTTCGATCAATACTTATATATTACAGGTAGAAATAAAAACATAATCATGTTAAACTGAACGGACTTACAGTGCCTTTAGTATTCTCGTCTATACCATTTTCTGTTAATAATCTTTTATCTGGACGACATGGTAGCAAAGCTGTATTATTTAATACAGCTTTCATTTTTGTGATATCATTTTGACCAGATTCAATTAAATCGCCATGTCTGTGTAATGATTGTGATTTGAAGGAATTGGAAAGTTTTGATTTATTCAGCCGTTTAACTTTTGTTGATTCAGTTATGTCATCAGACGGATTCACTTGTAGTACTATTATGAAGATGAAACAATAACAAGAAAAGAAACATTGAAAATAACTAATCAAAGGTAATTGTTGAGTGATACAAGTTCTTTCATAATTAATTAACCACTGAGTGGTGACCAACGTCATATATGTATATTCCTTAGTGGTGACCGAGTCGTACCACGGAAGTTGTGATATGGACATTAATCTAAATGACTTAATGTTACAGGTGTCATGTCAAGATGTAAGGCGGATAGATAATATCAGCAAGAAACACTGAACCTAAGTTTTGTAGTGAATGGTTCATGTTAATAGAAAGTCCTGTCTGGTCCTCGAATAGCTTGATAGCAACGTCTCAGAACATATGTTTGGGTTACGCGTGTTTGGATCTTATTGAGAGCATCGGCTTCCTAAATATCTTAGGCCTGTCTTACGGACAACCGTCCACAATCACGAAAGTTAGGTCCAGAGTTTCTTGCCGACCAATCACTTGACACATTTTTTTCAAATTAAATAACGAACTGATCTTAGATATACAACCACTGATAACCAGAAAGTACTAGACAGCTATCTTGTCCTAGTATGAGTCTTCAGATTTGGGAATCTCATCACAGACCGGAGTGAAGATTCTCGGTAAAGCGAACGAGCCAGTGTCTAATGGTTTCTAGTTGTGATCTAGCTAATGTCACTTCGTGATTTAAATTACGAAGACTCAAATATTTCCATGAACTCCCCAGTACTAATATTATTTTCAATTAAGGTTAAGCCAATATCATGAAATTTAAAATAAAAGTAACTAAGGGGCTTAGAATAAATCGATTTTAAAACAAAAAAGAAAATGCTCCTGAGAAAGGAGTGATCATATCTGAATATTATGAATTCATTTATTTTCTAGATCCTCGTTAGATACCTACAACCTAAACACGATAGCATTAGTTATTAAAACAAACGGACCTGTTCAACGTTTATTACATATTCAAAATAGTCTCAGAATTAAAGTCAGTGATGACAAAGAAGTAGATTGACAAAAAGTAATGTGTTTTTGTTCCCGAATTATAAAACATTTATAAAGCAAGATCCGCAGATACAACACAGAGAACACCAACCCAATCACACTTGATGGGGTAGCTCTCGAAGATGTGGTAATTAACTTGTTAAATAAATTGTCCATATCAAATTAATTGATAAAACCGTATCTTACTGAAGAGTAATGGTCATATAATACTGAGAATTTTTATTAGTAATATCTTTGAAAACATTCATCAAAATGAATTATAATTATTTAAAATTTATAAGCAAGATTGGTCAATTCTTGGAAGTAATTTTGATAAGTAACCTATTATTGGCTCTACTTTTAATTAGTTCATAGACTGCTAAACATACATTCAGTGTAAGAATTTAATTTTCTACATTTCTAAACTGAACTCTTCTTAAGACACGGAACAACCTTTATCCAATTTTATCAGTTAATAACTGAAATTTTTTGCTTCATTAGGATTTTAATGGTTTCACCTCATAGAGAATCATTATAGATTATACGACTAGTTCCGCTTAAGTTAAATCTTTGTAAATACCTGCAGATATATATATATATATATATATATATATATATAATCCATCAGTTACATCGTCTTCTTTTTAAAGGATAAAACTGTGCAGTTTGAAAGCGAAACACTATTCATCAGATTACTTGGTCTAGGAAAATTCAAATGATCAGATCTAAATTTTGATGCTTTTAGTTTATAAACAATATTCGATAATTTTATTGTTTGATTATATTTCCTTGAAAAAGTTTGGACTAGATCGCCAGGTGAAACGTTGGATTTACTTCAAATTTATTCGCTGATATTTTACAAGTACAATCTTCTTTCTTAATATCTCACATCAACTCGGTGCCTAAATACTATGAAACTATTCAATTAAATTTAGACGAAATTTCTTATACGATATTCTATTTCTTTCAGGACACTTAGATTAAATAATAGAATTCATGTTTTTATTTAAACCATTGACATTTAATTCCAAACGAGTATAGTTTCGTCCTTTCTATATACTAGCGATAAATATCAAACTGTATTAGGCATACATATATGTTATATGTAATTTAAATCAGTTTAGGGTGTTGTCTTGATGACAGGAAATGAGCATATTACAAGAAAAACCTTAACTACAAATTAATCTTGTAATTCTAATCTAAATGATTATAGTTGAACAAGTTTCTTTCCACAATTACCATATTCTAAATAGTCTGTTACATAATAATTGGCGACTGTTTAGAAAAGGTATACAAAATTCATTTAATTAAATAACTTTTCTTAGACTGGAACTTTTTATTTTAGCTAGACAATCAAGGTAATGATTAGATAACAATGTTTGTAAAATAAACAAGTCAAGAAACCTAAAACATACAATCAAGTAGTTTATTTTGGAGAAGATGAAATTATACCTATTTACTATGAATAATAAGATGACGAAGATTATCAGAACTGTGTGATATATTAGCGCATTACATTTCGAACAATCGGATCACATATATACCTGTTAAAAAACACTTACATATATATGTCCAGGAAAATAAACAGGATAGCATTTTCATATTCGACTTTAGATTGATATCATGAATAGGACGGTGTTAGACCACCATTGATAACCTGGAGGCGTTGGACGGCCCTTTCATCCTAGTATGGGACTCCTCAGCAATGCGCATCCACGATCTCGTATGTGAGACTCGAACCTAGGACCTTCAGTCTCACACGCGAACGTTTGACCTCTAGACCACTGAGCGGGATCATGTATGCGCACTGCTGACGAGTCCCATACTAAGACGAAACGGCCGTCCAGTGCTTCCAGGATATCAATGGTGGTCTAAAATTCATCAAACCACGGTCTTAATTAAGTATAATTTATTGCACAAGAAGAAATATGTCAAACTAGTTTGGGCAGGAGTGGTTCCGGTGAGGCAAACGCAAGGTAACAACGATTGGTAAAGTTATACACCACTAATATAAACTATATGAATAACTGAAGGATATTTTTGTGCTGTCTCAAAAATCCAATTATCCATTGATTTTAAATTTCAGCTTGCGTTTTGTACGGAAGTGCGTTTGACTTTAGACCCATTCTTTTTGCTATATGAAACTTATAATGTTCACTATTTCTACCTGGCTTAATATATTTATTCGCTGAGATTGTAGTGAAAAGCTATGATATCCGAGTTGAGGTGGATGATGCTTCATTAAAAATTAACTGAATTTAAAAATGGGTACATTTTCTTATCGGTAGTTCAGTAGTCTCGGAAACGTACTGTTCTAAGCTCAGCTCAATTTAGAGCTGTTACAGTCAACTTCTAAAAAGCATCAAACTAACACAAAATAGTAATTTAACAATTTTTGGTTTTCAATGGTTATCATATTCCTAGTTCGTAATCAAAACTATACATAACAATTGTTTGATCACTCATCAGCGACCAAAGTCATTTTCATCCAGTTCTTCTTTGTGCCGGTTGCATTCCATTGATCAAGTTTCAAGGTAGCAACTAGTCTTGAGAACTGAATTCATGTACGATATGTAAAAATGTTAGTTTACTGAAAGTAGTCTTTTGGAAACCCTGATGAAAACACTGAAACTTGATCGATAGAATTCAATCATCACAAATATGACATTAATCATTACTCTATAATCGATTAATTAATTGTAAATACTCTAATTCTACAACAAATAAGTTGTCACCCGAATAACTTAGTGACAATATTTTAGATGGATTCGTATCCTACAAAGACAATCATTTTACTCGAAATCATCTAACACATTAAACATAAAATGAATTTTGTATACTCTAATCTATGTCAAAAAATTTTTATATAACATCTTGGTTGATTCTTAAATTCTTATTTAACTTTATACAAATGCAAATAATTCTGATATAAAACTGATAAATGTTGATTGTTCAATTCGATATGTAGAAGAAAAAAAAATAACTAAACACAACTTGGAGAAAAGGGAATCAGTTGTGTGTGTTGTTGTTGTTTTTATATTATAGATTAGTTGATGTTCTTGTAATCAGAGAAATGATGTTCATCTCGTCAAATCATCTTATATAAGCTCATATTTCACACACAGTGACATAGAAACAAACACAAATTAAATTACATATAACTTTCTTCCTTTCTTTCTCCCTCCCTCCCTCTCCCTCTCTCTCTCTCTTTTCATCTATTATGGATTGTCATATTTTAAATTAAGATTTTTAAATCAGATTATCAACAAACAAACCAAAAAACAAATAGGGTTAACAGTAGATAGAATATGTCAAATAAGCCAAGTAAATTTCACCGATAAAATAAAAAAAATTAGTAAATAGGTAAGATTTTATCATTACACATAGTTTTCTAATTTGTACTGTAAGAACAAGTCTTTATTTAGTTATAAACAAAGGTAGCTTATATCTATGTTTATTAATGATGAATGATAAATTGATCATATAAATGACTAATATATACTTATATAGTTAGGTTATTGATTGCTTCTAGAAAACAGAACAAAATCATTGATAATACATGAATAGAATTTTATGTAATTGAAGATGGTGATCTAAAATATGCTTTTCGTGATATTTATAATTCATACCAGAAGGACTTTGTAGATATTATATGCTCACTAGTGACTGGATTTTAAGAGGTATATCCCGGATTTATAGTGAGAAGCAGTGACCAGTGGAGTTCAACCGGGTCTGTTGTGAGGTATTAGCTCACTGAAGATATTGGTGGATATGTCGCTCAATTTCGTGGATTGGATTAAGTTAGATATTAACACCGTTGGATACCAGCTCAGTGGTCTAGTGATTAAGCGCTCGCGCGCGAGACTGATAGGTCCTGGGTACGAATCTCGCTAGGCGGGATCGTTGGTGCGTACTGCTGAGGAGTCCCATAATAGGACGAAACGGTTGTCCAGTGCTTACGGGTTTTCATGTAGGTCTAGCTTCAATTGACACATTTATAATTAATCAGTTTATATCTCTTATATTTGGTGT